CTCCGTACTATAACAGGAAACCCAAAAAGGGACCCTAACTTAAGGAAGCCCCCCCCATGTGCAGGCGCGACACTGAAACAGTCCTGTGCAGAGCTCTTGTTGGTCCACGTCCACGCTCCAAGTCCTACATCCTACGCCCCTTCCAGCGGATGGGCAGTGTGTCAGACTCCACAACTGCCCAAAGGCTCTTCAAAGTTCACCGCTGGGAAGCGCCATTGACTGGTGCTACTGCAGGTCTCAATGGCACAAACCGGCGCCAAGGCTCTGCTTGGGGGACTTATAGCTCTCCGGGCTCCGGCTTCTGGTCACTCAGACACTTCGCAGAGTTCTCGCGCTGCGGATCTGGGAAGTCACCACACCAAGAGAAGTCACCCGCAGTTCTTTGATGGGTCGTCGTTCGGGAGCACGGCCTGCCAGCATCATCCCTCCAAACCTGAACCCTGAAAGCCTGAGACACGCAAATCACCAGAATCTGAACCCTTTAGGCCCTAAACCCTCAGGTGCTTGACTCTTGACACCACACATGGCAGCACCTGCGCGACTTTGAGCAGTCGTCGCAGAACTACTGCGTGATCGCGGATGCCGGCTTCGTCAAGAGGGTTCTGCAGGCACCAGTCTGAAGGGGGGTTTCCTCACATCAATCGTGCCTTTGGGAGCCTGGCAACACTTTTAAGGCCACGTAAGGGCCCCCGCATACTCTCGGAAACAAACCCCGGCTTCGAACATCTTGCAGACAGGGCTCCGAATTCTTCTTGTTCAGCCGCTCCGCGACGTTTTGCACAACAGATGGGCCATTGCGGTTGCCCTGAAGCAGACGTGTTTCCAAGATGTTCCAAGTACTGTACCACTCTTCGGTCAGAGGGGGCTTTTCATGCTCTGCCGGGCGACCTGCCTCGACAAGATACGGGACATCTCCTTGCCACTTCCTCGAACCCATCACGATGTCCATGTACGCCTCATTTTGCCCGCGCAACACTCCATGCCAACATGGCACAGCTCTTGCAGAGGCTCACAGAGGTTCAGCTCCCGGCCTTGTTGGCCTTCACATACTCCCTTGTCCCTGGCATCTCCGGGCCACCCCCTTTCTTTTTTACGAATGGTGCAGACATCCGAGTGCCAGACCGATGCAGCTGCAGAAATCCTGAAACCATCAGACGTGGCACTTGCATCTGCGCTGCACCCTCTTCCGCTCAAAACGCCTGGAGACACCCCATCCACACATATTGGAATGTTCGCCCTTATACCAACAGTCCTTGACAGGTGATAGGGATTATAGTACCCTGAACCCTAAACCCTAAACCGTAAACCCCAAACCCTAAACCCAAAACCCTACGCCCCGATTATAATCCCTATTTACGACTGTTAGTATAAGGGGAAACACCTAAACCTTAAACCCTAAACCCTCAACCCTCAACCCTAAACCCTAAACCCTAAACCCTAAACCCTAAACCCTAAACCCTAAACCCTAAACCCTAAACCCAAGTTTAGGGCCTCCAAGGGCTGGGAGAGCTCCACCGGAACGCGGTCATCAAGCCGCTGGCAGAATCTTTGCACCTCGCGCTCCGGGATGCAGCGAAGTAGGGTTTAGGGTTTAGGGTTTAGGGTGTAGGGTTTAGGGTTTAGGTTTAGGGTTTAGGGTTTAGGGTTTAGGCTTTAGGCTTTCGGCTTTAGGCTTTCGGCTTTAGGCTTTAGGCTTTAGGCTTTAGGCTTTAGGCTTTAGGCTTTAGGGTTTAGGGTTTAGGGTTTAGGGATTAAACATTGAGGGTTTCGGGTTTAGGGCTTGGGCTTTCGGGTTTAGGGACTCCCATGGACTCCCTGCGATTTGGCCTGCTGGCAGGCTTCCTTGGCCGCGGGCTCAGACAGCAAGACCTTCGGGGGGGGGGGGTTTGATTTCAGCAGTTCTGCAGGGTTTAGGGTTTAGGGTTTAGGGTTTAGGGTTTAGGGTTTAGGGTTTAGGGTTTAAGTTTAGGGTTTAGGGTCATTTAGGGTTTAGGGTTTGCTGTGACAGGGCGTAGGTGCTGTGAAGGTAAGGTTTCGGAACAAGCTCGAAAGCTGCGTGAGGTCCAAGAGCACCTTTGTCCCGACTGTGGAGGGCCATCTAGCACTTTTCTCCCACCCCACGCCGTCCGAGGCGGCAAAGCCACCCAAACCTATTCCTTTTAGGGTTTAGGCCTAAACTCAAGGCAACAGCCCACTTCTAAAAACTTATTCAGTTTCATGAACTAGGGGGGGCCAAAGGGGTGAGGGCGGGCAGAGGAACCAGGCCGGGGGGCCAGGGGTGCAGGGGAAGAAAACAGGGGGTCAGGGGGGGTCAGGGAGGTCAGAGGAGGTCGAGGGTTTAGGGTAATTACTTGATTAAAAGGGACCAGTACTGGTTGCGAGGAGAGAGCCCATCGTGGGCGCTACCGAACCACCTGCTGTGGCAGGCGGGCGAGCGACCTGGGTCGGCTTGCGCCATCGAGGTCGAAGGGCTGAAGCGGGGCGGCCTAGGCCCTGAGTTTACGGTTCCCTCAAGTCGCAACAAAGCCCTCGAACGCCTGAAAAAATCGCGCCTTCCGCACATCCGGATCAAACTTGCTTGCCACCTCCGAGAGCTTGCCGTCTTGAAGCCACCTAAGGTCCGAGGTGCCACCGGAAAGTCTTGGGAAGAAGGCTTTAGGGTTTAGGGTTTAGGGTTTAGGGTTGAGGGTTTAGGGTTTAGAAGCAAAGCAAACAGTCGTGTCCATCCCGAGCCTCAACCACTGGGTAGCCAGATACTTCGAGGAGTGGATTATGAAGCCTCGGCCGTGTTGCGGGGGGCCCACGGTTGTGAGAGATCCGGGTTATCAGGCCTTCGGCTGTCTCGAAGTCTGATCTCGAGCGCCATATCAGGTCAATCTCCGGCTGATCCTGAATTGAAAAGGGTTGAGGGTCTAGGGTTTAGGGTTTAGGGGTTAGGGTTTGGGAGTACACAGCGGGTACACCAAGCACGCTCTATAGGGCCGCAGCCGACGTCTCCGCCGCAGCTTGCGTCTGTCGAGCCACCTCCCAGGTGCGTCGCAGCGTATTCACCCAATATGGCGGTGTACGAAAATCAGGGGCCCTTAATATGGACCCCCAAATAGTAGGATTCCTAATAATCAGGACCCCAATAAGGTACCCCCCCAATTTAGGAAACCCGCAATATTTGTCCAAATAAGGATCCGAAGAAAACTAAAAAAGTGCCCTCGACCAGAGGATACAACCCCCCCAGCCCAAAATGGGCATAGATCGTCATCAGGCCTTTTTCGAGGAGAGGAGAGGGGTGCCAATAATGTTTTCCTATAAATATGGACCCCAAGCTCTGTTGGAGAGAAGTATATAGGATACCCTGAACCCTAAACCCTAAACCCTAAACCCTAAACCCTCAACCTTTTTTGGGCCCATACCATGCATCAACCCCCATACGAATTAGTCCGAGAGGCCTCCGAGGCATCGGACCTCGGAGTGCAGCCGTCACTTGACTTCGGGATTTGGGGTTTAGGGTTTAGGGTTTAGGGTTTGGGGTTTCGGGTTCAGGGTTTCGGGTTTAGGGCTTAGGGTTTGGGGTTTGGGGTTTCGGGTTCAGGGTTTCGGGTTTAGGGTTTAGGGTTTGGGGTTTCGGGTTCAGGGTTTCGGGTTTAGGGCTTAGGGTTTGGGGTTTCGGGTTCAGGGTTTCGGGTTTAGGGTTACGGGTTTAGGGTTTCGGGTTTAGGCCTTCGGCTCCAAACAACCTCCAAGCTACTGATGTCTCGCCCTTCTCATCTTCTAGTCACCCTCGTGTAAGCCCTAAATTATGAACCCTACGTAGGCCCTGGTGTCCTCTTGTGAACTCAAACCTCCAGAACCCTGTTAAGGGCCCCGACCCGAAAACCCCTAGAGCCCTGAACCCTAAACCCCACACCCAAAACCCTAAACCCCAAACCCTAAACCCCAAACCCCAAACCCTAAACCCACAAAGAGGGTCGAAGGGCTCGATCGCTGCGCAGGGTGCGGCAGATTTGTTCGTGGCTTTGCAGCAGGCCTCGGCCGCAATGTAACAGGGGTTTAGCGTGAAGGGGTTTGGGGTTTAGGGTTTGCATGGGGTTTAGGGCTTGGGGCTTGGGGCTTGGGGTTTGGGGTTTGGGGTTTAGGGTTTAGGGTTTACGGTTTGGGGTTTGGGGTTTAGGGTTTGGGGTTTCAGGAACGACCTGCGAGCCGAGCGTGCGGCATAGCCCCACGCTCCCGAGTCGCTGTCATACCTGAACAAAGCCGCCGCGCCCTATAAATCCCTTTAAACCCCTATAAACCCCTATAAACCCCTGTAAACCCCTATAAACCCCTCCCTATAAACCCCTATAAACCCCTATAAACCCCTATAAACCCCTATAAACCCCTATAAACCCCTATAAACCCTCTCAACTCTGTCAACCCTACAAACGCTATAAGCTCTATAAACCCGAACCCCTATAAACTGCATCAACCCTGCAAGCCCTATGAGCTCAATAAACCCTAACTCTACGGACGCTGTAAACCCTACAAAGACCCATGAACTCTCCAAAACCCGAAGCCTTATAAACCCATGACATGGTGCAGGGCGTTCGGTTCTCTGCAAGATTCTGGGAACCCTAAACCCTAAACCCTAAACCCTAAACCCATTCTCTGGGGGTCACCGCTTCAGGAGGTGGATTCCACAGGTAGGGCACCAAGTAAAGGCTTGGGGCAGCTGGCGAACCGAAGACATGCCTGATAGCACACTGAAACGTTGGCCGCCAGGCCCAAAACCCTCAGCCCCAAAGCCTAAGCCCTAAAACCTAAGGCCTAAACCCTAAACCCTTAACTCTTTGAACCCGAACTTTCTGCTTTCAACTTTGAACCCTAAAAAGCCCCAAAGTCAACCAAGGAGCCAGGAACCCCAGATGCTTCGGTGGCCCGATGGGAAGGCGTCCTCTGCAAGGGTTGGGGGTTTAAGGTTTTGAGGTTTAGGGGTTTAGTGGGTTTTGGGGTTTTGGGGATTTAGGGTTTTGGGGTTTAGGGTTTTACTAGTTTTAGGGTTTTGGGGTTTTTAGGGTTTTGGGTTTTTAGGGTTCGGGGGTTTTGTGCTTTTGAGGTTTGAGGATTTTAGGATGTGTGGGGTTTGGGGTTTAAGGGTTTAACATTTCGGGATGGGGCTTGGGTTTCAGGTCTTGGGCTTTTGAGTATAGCATTCTGGGTTTTCGAGTGTAGGGCTTAGCTCTCCAACCTTCATGGTTGAGTTTTAGGGTGTAATGTTCAAAGGGCTTTAGTTGGGGATAAACCCTAAACTCTAAACCCTAAACCCTAAACCCGAACTTGTGGGGGCTGTCGGTGTTTCTTAAGGACTTGGGGACCACAAGGCCGATCTCCTCGGTGTAGCGCGACGATGCCAAGTGCTGTCCATCCGCCATGAAGGCCCGCACTGAACCCTGCAGCCCTGAGCCCTAAACCTTAAACCCTAAAGCCCTAAAGCCCTAAACCCTAAACCCTGAACCCTAATGCCTAAACTCCGAATGTCTTTGGCTCTAACCAACCAGCTCGGGCCAAACAACGGCAACACCCGCGCGGACCCTCGGTCACTGGTCACGGCCAGCAAGCATATCAGCGATAATATATATATATATATATATATATATATATGCATACATATATATATATATATATATATGCATTTATATGTACTTATCTATTTATTCTTTTTTTGCTTAGATATGTATGACGTAGAAATATGGTATGAATAACATAGAACTTTTGCAGACACGCGTATATATTCACTATAAAATGTGTAGAAGACAGTCAATACTTGTATATGTATAAACCCTAAACCCTAAACCCTAAACCCTAAACCCTAAACCCACATGCACTACTCACCTGGGCCACGCCGTGCTTCGACCAAGTCGCGCCTTGGACATGGTCTCGATCTTTGCCACCTGCGCCTTGGCAGCCTGCAAAAACCCCACCCACACGGACACATGCAGAGACACACACGGACACACACATATCTATCTAAATGTATATATATATATATACATATGCACATATCTATATATCTAAATATATATATATATATACATATATATATAATTCTTGTATATAGTTATATTACAGTTTATTATATTAAAAATTTCAGTACATTTTACTATACTATACTACTGCTTGCGGCGCTGAAGACCTGCTCCAGACTAGTCACAGGCAACATGCAGAGTTGGCACCCTTATCTTGTCCGGGTTGGCGGTGCTGCGCCTGGGCAGGGCAAAGCCACGGTTTCGGGTTTAGGGTTTAGGGTTTAGGGTTTAGGGTTTAGGGTTTAGGGTTTAGGGTTTAGGGTTTAGGAGTTGGGGTTTAGGGATACTTCAAATCAGGCCAAGTCATGTCAAGTCACGCGTCTATCTCTTGCCGTATCTTGTCCAGAGTCTCCTGGAGCCAAGCTGAGCATCGTCATGTCTTCCACACATGCCCACGGAAGCGCAGGCGCGGCACGGTCCTTCTGATACTTCATGAGATCGGCATTGTGATTGTGCGCGAAGATTGTCCTAAAGAAGTCCACGGGCAAGGGCAACTTATGTAAACTTGATGACGGATGGTACGAACTGCGAAAGCAGAAGGAAAGAGCGCTTTCCAGCCCAGGCACTGGTGCAGCTCCCCCTTCAGCTTTCCGAGTTCCTCACTCAAAAAAGTCACTAAGCGGCGTTGAGACAGCCTACAGCTTAAGGTCTCGGGTTCACCAGCTTACCTTAAAACCGCTTAAAGAGAAAAGAGCTCCCCACCTTGCCCCACTGCTGCTCAACCTTCGCAAGGGCCTGCACCACGGCTGTTTGCTCCAGAACCTCCCAAGGTGCAACTGGGCATTGGACACTTGGGGGCTTACGATATTAGTTGAGGCCTTATTGGGGTCCTTATGATAAGGGACTCCTACTGTTTGGGGGTCTATATTTGGGGGGTCCCTGATTTTCGTAAACCCCCACTTCTCAGCTGGCGGAATGAGCACCCTAAACCCTAAACCCTAAACCCTAAAACCCGGCCTCCGTCTTGGGCTGCACCTGGATCTCATCCAGCTGCTTCACGAGGCCATCGAGTCCTAGGTGCAATGCTGACATAGTAGGGTTTATATTTCTTGTACCCCCAAAAGGACACCAATATTAAAAGAGGAACCTTACTTTCACTCACCAAAATGTTGAAAAAAAGTCATATAAAGCCTGCTCCACATGGCACTGATGAACAAGGCATGAGGCTCTAGGCCACTCACCCCAACCCTTGCACTGGGGACGAGGCGGGTATCCATCTCCTGACAAGCATCCTAGATTGATACTTCCCTAAACCCTAAACCCTAAACCCTAAACCCTCTCTTGAACATGGGACACCCCTTCCCGTGGCTGAGAGGCATCCTGCATGGCATGGTGCAGAAGCTTCAGCTCAGCAGTCACCTGCACTCACAGGCTCTCTCCCGATCTCCTCTCAGAGGAATATTCTTTTGGAGATTCAGGGTTCAGGGCTTAGGGTTTAGGGTTTAGGGTTAGGGACACTGAGACAAACCTCTCTTCACCCGGGCCTTTTGCTCGGACTCCTTCTTTGCTTGCAGCAGCAGGGTTTGCACCTCGGTTAAGTTCAGAGTTTGGAATAAGGGCCTACGAGTCTACGGTTCAGCGCTTAGGGTTCAGCATGGACAACCTGGGGGGGCCCACCTGCTGTCCTATCTTGTTCGAGATCTCCTGCTTCACATCCGTAACTTCCTGCAGACTCGCTCAGAGTTGGGAGCAGAAGGGCTTAATGGCTTAATGCAGGCGCTTGGCATTCAGATCGGGAGCACTGAGAATCAAGACTGTCGGAAAGCACACAGAAGAGCTCCTCCGACCGTGCGCCACCTCAACTTCTTTGCAGCACGGGTGCAAGGACACTGACACGTAAGAGCAGAGCTCACATCTTCACCCCCCAAGCACGCCCAAAACCCCAAACCCTAAACCCTAAACCGTAAACCCTGATACCTAAACCCTAAACCCTAAACCCTAAACCCTAAAGACCCCAAAACCTTTGAAGGCTTCGGGAACTTCTCGCTCAGGCCACGTCCGTTGAGGGCACCGCTCGGCCTCAGTCTCTCCCAGGATGGTCAAGAAGCGTAGGGTTTAGGGTTTAGGGTTTGGGGTTTAGGGTTTAGGGTTTGGGGTTTGGGGTTTGGGCTTTAGGGCGAAAACACAACACTCAAGCTTCTTGCTAATCTGCACTTCTGGGTGTGTTTATCGCAATTAAGAACACACGAACTCCTTGCCGAACTTAAAGCTCAAACTTCTTGCTCATCTGAGTCACTGCAGGGTTGACCCCAGTACCCCTTACCCCTTAAAAAATCCCAGAATCCCTACTGCCCTGCAAGACCCTGAACCCTAATTAAACTTCATGAAATGGCGCTTTGTGGGCGTTTGGTGGCGCATCTCCTGAACCCCAGCCCTGCACCCCACCTGAACCCTACACCCCACCGGAACCCTAAACCCTAAACCCTAAACCCTAAACCCTACACACAACACAAAAGCCCAGGACCCCGGCAGACCAAGGCTTGGAGCTGGTGAGAGGCCAGGAGGTGCTGGCGCGCCCGGGCGCGGAGGGCAGCTTGAGGGGTTTTGGGGGGTTTGGGGGGTTTAGGGTTTAGGGTTTAGGGTTTAGGGTTCAGGGTTCAGGGTTCAGGGTTCAGGGTTTAGGGTTTAGGGTTTAGGGTTTAGGGTTTAGGGTTTAGGGTTTAGGGTTAGGGGTTAGGGTTTAGGGTTTGTTTAGGGGTTGGGGTTTTGGGGGTTTGAAGGGCTTTTTTGGAGGGTTGAGGGTTTTTTTGGGGGGGTTGAGGGGTTCTTTGGGGGTCGGTTTGGGTTTAGGGTTTCGGATTTAGGGTGTAAGGCGCAAAGGTTTGGGGGGGTAGGGTTCGTTCTTTTGGGGGGTTGAGG